TTCTTTCGTGATTCAACTAAAAATAAATTTAGGCATGTAGTAAGGAATAAATTATGTTTGACTATTTAAATAGCTTACTGGAGTATTAGCATAAGCAGCAGCTGGCAATTGCCTTTTCCTTTCAGCTTGTAAATAAACTTCTGTTTTTAATGATTCCTGGTAGTGAGGGAATAAGTTTTCATATTCATCTGGATTAGCTAATGATTCACTAGCTTTTACATTGGTTTTGCTTAATGAATCTTTCCACAATCCAACAACATATGACATTTTGCTTGGTAAATATGATCGAGCAAAAAATGCTGCTTCTGGCAACCTATCAGTTTCTATTAATAATTGTAAACATTTGTCTAAATCACCCAACAGTAAATAAGACAAAAATGATATATTATTTTTGCCATTTGCGTTAGTACTTTCAGCTAATTTTTTTACCATGTCACTATTACCTAGATAAGACAATTCATTTAGATTAAAATCAATTGAATATAAAATTGGATAATCAATGCTAATAGTAATACATACCAGAAGATGTAGCTAACAAAAGTAATCCACCATAATCTTGAGCCTGATGAAGACATTCTTGTGCTAATTCAAGGTTAGCTTGTGCGGTAGCTAATTCGGAGAGTTGTCTCCATTTTTGAGGACTAGATGCTTCCTTAGCAAGTAAATGTGCTTTAGCTAAGTCTTGTAATTGGATTGCCAATTCAAATTTATGCTCAACATCTGTTGATACTGACAATGCTTGTTTCTTATAACCCTACAAATAAAATGTTATAATTAGGTAACTATATGTGTATTATTATGGGGTAATGAAAACAGCTGCGTAATATTGTTTATTAAAGTAATTTAGGTAATGACAGACAAAATTATTTTTTACATTGCCAAGTAACACAAAATTATCAATCTGTGGTTGAAGAATGAAATAAAAATAGTTAACTGCAATATTTTTATGCTTATAAGAACCATGAATAATTCATCATTTAATATTCAAATTACCTGCTTTTCTAAGAAATGAGCCACACGGGTTCTATATTGGGACGGTACTGATGGTAGTATGCGATCAGCAATTTCAAAATCCTTTCTCATGACTGCAGTTTGGTATTCCAATACAGATAAAAGAAGGCTATAAGAAACAATGTTAAGTTCCTTGTCACCTAGATAAAGTCGATTTTCTTTAGCAACATATCCTAAAAGATACATGGTGCGGTCAAGATGAGACACAGTCACAATTTCTCCACCAACATAATAGTTGATACGATTTACTCCATTGGTGTAAATAAAGCAATCACCAACCCATAGACCAGTTTTTACAACTTCTTGAACTTCTCCTAAAATCTAAAATGTAATTTAAGGTTAATAATAAATAAATGTTTTAACTATATTTAAGATTATAAGTAATTTTGGAAACTTGCCTCAAAGGCATCTTCAAGACCATCAGGACTAGCAGCTTCATAATTGGATGCTCTTGCAGCACTAAGTACATTGACGTCAAAACGTAAAATAAAGTATGCTTCATCTGTGGCAAGACATACTAATTCTCCAGACTCTGACCAAAATACATGTTTAGGTTGTGTCTCAATTCTTCGAACTAAGTTACCATTTTCCCAATCATATAAAGCCAACCCAGTAACAGATTTCACACCTAACAAATAACCTCCAAAAATACCATCTGCTCCACCTTCTGGTTTAAAAGACTTTTTTTCTTTAAAATTTTTAAAAACTTTGATTGTAGAAGAATTTTCTCTAATGGCATACTCAGAATCAGAAGACCATACAAAATCCTGAGCGGAGCCAAATGCTTTATTACGCAAAGCCATTGATGTATATATAATATACTCTCCATCACCACATACTACTAAAAATCTACCATTCGGATTATGAGATATTGACTGTGGATAAATTTCACAGCTACCCATGTCTTTAACTTGTATTGGTAAACGTTCACCATCTTTGATTTCGGCTCCTTCTGCTTGAAGCATCGCTTTAAGGTTAGCTTGTTGAATTTCACTATGACGTGCCCAAACAATTTTACCCCCATGAACATCCATTGACATTGCTGGCTCTTCACGACCAACTTTAACCATTATACTTCCTTCATCATAACTAAGAAATGATAAATTAAAATTTTGAGTTTTAATTTATAAGACTTTATAATGATTTAGTGTTAAAATTATTCGTACCCTAGAGCTACATTATTAGATCCCCGTAAGCAACAGATTGTCCATACACGTTCTAACCCATAGTTTAATGATGATTCTAATCGATAAGTACCAGAATGCCAAATTCTGACGGTACCATCTTCTGAGCCAGTTAACACAATGGGAAGTTCTGGATGGAAACAAACTAAAAAGACAGAAATATATTTTGAATTAGAACAATTTGTTAAAATATTTAACACTATTTTATTACCAGCAGAAATATTTTGAGCATGGCCTTCTAATGTCTGAACACATGTTTTGTTTTGGTAATCCCAAATTTTAACAAGTCTGTCGTCAGCACCAGATATCAAATAAGGCTTATCTCCAGCATGATAATAGTCAACACAATTTACTCCCTTTTCATGTCCTTCTAAAGTAAAATTTGGCGTTGAAGAACCAAGTTGCCACACTTTAACAGTTCGATCTAATGAAGCACTGGCAAAAGTATTGTTATCTTTAGGGTTAATTATAATCTGCATAACATAATGTGTATGTCCTTCAAAAACTTGTTGACAAGCCCATTGTTTTTCCCAGTTCCAAAGTTTTATCAACATGTCATCTATAAATTATACAGAAATTAAATATAAAAAATAATTACCTCTGTAGAGAATAGGAAGTATGTATTTTCCTTTGCTAGCTTTATGGGCGATCGGAGAGAACATAACAGGATGTATCACACATAAATTTAATACATACCACTACTAGTAAGTATAAAAGGTTGTGAAGGATGAACAGCAATACTTCGTAAGTAATCAGAATGTGCATCTAGTTGATGAACACGCTCTAAAGTATTGTAGTTGATAACACGCAACTGCATATCATCAGAACCAGTGACAATCCAATTTTTTCGAGCAACAAATCGAGCTGCTCTAACAGGTAGTTCACATACCTAATGTAAAATATTATGAATATCAACAATATATCATATACAATTATTTACAGTATGTTAATTAATTGGAAGGTCAATATCTCTAATTCAAAGTTTTATGCAGTTTTATTAAAAATATAATTTATTCTAACTAATAGCCTCCCTATTAGCATGAACTAAAAAAAAAAAATTTTCCAAAAATTAAAAAATAGCCATTTTGCAGTTATTTATAATATGGACAAAAGGAACAATTTTAAAATCATTTGAAATTGTAATAAATGACAGCAGCTTATATAAATATTAAGCTTGTGTATCAATCATTAACTACTCCACCTATTATATTCTTAAAAAATTATCAATTTGTCATTTTGATGTGTTTTTATTATAGTACAATAATAACTATTTTAAATATATTATGGATAATCATTTTTAAATAACAATTTTAGAAAATGTACTATTCAACTGTTATAAAATATTTTATACTTACGTTATTTTATAATAATTGAATAGGTAGTACATTCTTTAAAATTTTTAGTTTAAAACTATTCTCCATAAATGTAAAATAGTTATTATTGTATTATAATAAAAACACATCAAAATTATAAATTAATAATTTTTTAGAATATAATAGGTGAAGCAATTAGCATTTGATACAGGAGTTTAATGTTTATAAAAATAGATAAAAAGAAATATGAACTAATAACTAGGTAATTAAAACAATTATATTTAGTAAGTATTTTTTTAAATTTTACAATCAAATATTAATTCATGTATTTTTGCTAAATTTGTATGATCCATATTTATTTATTTATTATTGTTGTATTATATATTATTTTAAAATATTTATTTGAATGATATGAATGAAATTCAAACATAGACTTATGATGAAAATTAATTTAAAGTAATAATATATAGACATACCCCATGTGATGTGACACTAATTGTAGGACTAAATACCAAGAATTTTAATTTAATATGGAAACAAACTTATTTTTAATGGAACATATTAAAAAATCACAGAAGTATTATGATGGCTATTTTTTTTAATTAACAATGTATAGATTTACTTCGTATGATTTAATGAGTGTAGCTGTTTCATGGTTCCATATATGCACAGTGCCATTGTACAAAGATGCCAACATCCATGGCTCTTTAGGATGAAGGTCGACGCACTTGACACGATCCGACCGAGCAGTCAGCTTTCGCTTTATGTCTAAACGTAAAGGCTGGAAAATACCAAACGATTAGATTAAACACAGTATTCAGGAGAAGTCGTATATGCTGCATCCTGGACAGTTTTAGAAGGTGCACTCACCATTTTTAAGGTTTTAAAAATAAATCCTCAAAACATACACCAGATCGAGTAATCGTGTGAAGTATTTGATCGTTAAGAGAAAAACATATACGGGTTTAAAACACTTAAATCTGTATTCGTGTAACGAGTGCGTGTGTACCCTAAAATCTGAATGTTGTCGTCGGCAGCAAGCTATGCGGTGGTGTCTTATATTCTTATCAGCGTAGAGTACGGTTATCATAGTCGACCGATGACGACGGACGTGTACACAAGCAGTCGTGCCAATTCTTAGATCATTAACATTGTATATAATGTAAGTGCCTGCCAAATGGTCACAAAATAGTTGTTCACTTGTTCCTGATTCGTTTAAACAAAATATTTGATCTAATACAATTCTTATGATCATTTTCCAATTTTTTCAGAACTACAAATAATTACTAATTAGTATACTTGAAATTCTCTAGGCTAAACCTGTATGGAAAATAACGTACTTGGATATTTGGACCATGTCAATGATATGGTAGATATTCGCTGGGCCAAACCGGTTTAACATTATCCCACATAATACTGTACCGGGATAATGAACCATGTAAATGATATAGTCCAGACATCCCGATGCAATTTTTTTCACACCGGTCTAGCCTAGGTACAAGACATGTTACAACTCGTGCAACATATTATACAGTATAGACAGTATATTGTTCTGTGGTATAGATACATTCTGTTTACATGTCCATGGACCATGGTGATATAGTATACACTAGCATGGAATCATAAACCAAGTATATTATGTTATATGTCAATTGTGTTCATGTGGAATTATATACGACGATACTTATAAGTTTAAAGATAATATTATGGAAGATAAATATTATTACATATCTGAATTTTGTAAGAGTATATAATTAGAAAATATGTCTAATGGTGTGTAGTGACTAGTGTGTTATTTCACGGTCTCGGGAGAGCGCATCTGTTCAACGCCTTTGTTCGGTTGTTCAGTGGTTGACTAGTTGTCTTCGTCGCAGAAAACCGCTTGGCAGTTGGCGCTCACCGCACGAAGCACGGAAGACGGAACTCGCCACACAGTTGTGCATACCACAGTACATTGATTATGTACTGACCAATGAAGAGAACCTGGTAGTAGGTAGGAGGTGTCGGTGGCGCGTCACAGTCTGGTACCACGACGGTAGTCTACCAGTAATCACTATCACCATTAACATTCGTCACTGGCGGAGCAGAGCAAGTAGCAACAGGACGCGCGTCATCAGAGCGTTCGTCCACCGACGGTCGCGACCGGAGCCGTCTCCCACGACCACTGCCCACTGGTGTGTGTACCCTCGACAGTCAACGACGACAAAATGCTTTCCGATGCCGCTGAGTAGCCCGAGTGCGGCCGGCTATGCATTGTCAGTTTGGATTTGGCGGCGTCGGATCCATGGGGGACAACATTAGGAAGAAGGCCACCAGCGACACGTTGCCCAAACCTGGAAAGGTCAACTCGGGTACTATATTATTCTTTGTTATTACATTTTTATTTGTTGATGTTTATATAGTTTGTAGTTCATCCGTACACTTGATATGTAGGTCAAAGATATCTTCTTGTTTATATGATTCTGTAAACATTATCCTAAATTCGTCGGAGAAAGAAAGTGGTTGTTGTGTTTTGGGTCACTTTCACTGCAGTACCGTGGTGTTCGATTAGCCCGGGGTGTTGTAACACATCCGCATGACAGCATAGTGCTCGGTAGTCATTGTTAAGTGTGGGCAGGGCCGTAATTTCATTTTGGTGCAATGGCACGTAAATTCTATCTGTTATTTTTCAATATCGCTGCATTTTACATGGTTATGGTCAATTTCTGGTCACGTTTAGTGATTCAATTGTTTGGTATTTTCTCACGTATTAGCAGGCCGAGTAATTAATAAATGCAATTTTTTTAGCGAATTTTTTTTTGAAATTGAGTTCATTCATTTTGCGTCGATCTCTAGAATTTGGATATTTTACCCACTCGGATCCAAAAGCCAGAGTTTAATCACATTTTTAGTCTGATACTTGATAATTATCTACCATTGTTTATCTTGTCTAACCCTATAGTCTATATTCATAGATGTAAATAATGTTGAGATTTGCGAGGACTGAAGATTTTGATAAAGGGATGACATTTTTTTCATATATTCCATATTGCCCAATATTTTTTGAGGCTTATTTCCTCCCAGCCTCTTGATATTAACTATTATGCATGTATTTAAAGTACAGTGAAACCTTTATAACTCAAACATACACATTTTTCTATAATTCAAATTTTTGAACATTAGAATTTTTTTTTCCCCCAACCAATTTGAATTATTGAGGTTTTACTGTATTTATTTTTAGTCATGTCAAATTTAAGGATAATTTAATTTAGTTGTAGTTTTGTAAGAAAATTAGCTAGTACCTCTTCAACAGATTTATCTTGTTATATATATATAGATATCTATATGCAAAATAGGAAAGCACTGTGAAAACAGTTCCCTTATCGTTGTTGGTTTAAACATAAAAATAAATATAAAGGCACCTAGCTGCTTTCATACAAAAACAATTACTGTCTTGTTAAGAATAAAATAATTTAAGTAGTACAAATAACCAAATGACAAATTAACGAATATTTATGTAAGTCTATCTATATAATATGTAACTATATTATTTAATTATTACATAATACTTAAAATGAGCAATTTGAATCACAATTTAAACAAGACTAAAAGAGTCAAAAACTTATAACTGAACATTGTTAATTAATATTATACTTTATATTCTTTAATTATGTTATTGATATATAATCGAACATCCAATTTCTGTATTATTACTTCTGTTCATATATATTTTTTAGAATATTATTGGCGGGAGTTGAATTAACAATTGATTAATTCAATAGCTTACTAAAATTGAATGGGACATTAAATTACGTTTAATTGACAATTAACTTACTATTGATTATAAATTATTAATGATTGGTTATGCAACCAGGTGGCAGGCATATGGATATCATTTACTACTTATGGTTGAATATAAGTCACATTAAATTAATATGTGATTGTCCTATATTATTAAACTTTTTGTCCCGTTATGTAACATCTCTATTTGAGAGACAAAAATGTTCAGTCTCCAAAAAATATCACACACCTTACGCTTTTTTTTTTTATTATAAAACATCATTGGTTTGTTACATATGGTCAACGTGTTGCTCAGGCAACATCTTGAATATGGATAGGTGCCAAGTAAGTATTGGTAGAAACTAGAAAGAAAATAGGGCATATTATCGATAGGTATAGCAGTATTATTAGGGGCAGGTCACCTACCATTATTTGAGCAACACCAATCTTATAATTGATACACACCATTGGTAGGTTATTTTTCTGCTATGAAATGAGTCTAGCTGTGGTTTTTTTTTACAAATTATTCACTTCCGGTGTAATATTATATAAATAGTATAATAATATATTGTCATTTATCATTATGCCTGATGATATACTTGGTGAGAGTTCGAAGGATGGTATTGAAAAGTTAAGAAATATTGTTATTAATGGTTATCATTATTTACGTAAATATAAATTGAATATTTATTGAAATCCAAGGTCCTATTTTTGTTTGTTGTTTATGTAGGTAAACAAATTACAAATATTGATTTTAATATATGGCAACAATGGTACAAGACATACAAAAACATAGTTCTGAGAAAATTAAATAAAATTGGATCTCCTGCCAAGTTGTTAGTTTTAAAACTGTAATTATTTATGTTAGCCTGCCCTTATTTTATTTTAAGCTATCAAAGATAAATCTCTGAGGTACCAGAAAATGAGGTTATAGTAGTTAAGCAATAGAATAACAAAATTACCAGATTTAGTTGATTTTATGTCAGTCTTCCATTTCAAGCCAAATATTTTATGTGTTATCTTGTGACTAATCAATACTTTTAACAGCAATAATTGCTGTTACAGCATTATTAAGATAGTTACCAATAGAACAAAACGTGAGCTATTTTGGCATTATCGCCACAAACTGAAATATGGCAGTTCATTATTTTTCTTGAGTGTGCATCCAGTAGAGAAATATTATGTTAAAATGTCTCAAATTAAAATAAGGCAGCCTCGAGTTCTTGTGTATAAGAAATATGCAACAAAGCCACATATTAAAATAGTATCAACTTTTTTTTAACCATGGAAATGAATAAATTCTATCCTAACAAAAATCTATTAGAGAAACTTGAGTTTTAAGTTGTGGCAGTCTTGTATCAAGGGTGTGATATGTTAATGAACCTAATTTAATTAATGATAGTCAATCAAAGATATATTTATATACATATAATGTAACAAGATTGTTAGATTAAGACCAATTATTATAAATAATATGTTCAGTAAATTAGTTTCTTATTTAATGTTTTATAAATCTATAAATACCTTAAGAGAAACTTGATTTGTTTCTAACTACAAATAGATTAAATTATTTGTTAACCAATATAATTTTCTTTTAGGGGGAACCCCGACAATTGAAGTCGGGTATGGGGTGGTATGGTTTGGAGTTTTTTGTATAGGTTTAGTAGGTTTAATTGTAAAACTTGTCCGTGTATATGTGGCAAGGATATTTTGCTAAAAGCCTGGGTTATCGCCCATCAGGGAGCTAGCAACGTTGGCCAGTATGTACACTCATAGCGTTTCCGCAGATTGAGTGTACGACTGCGCCTCACCAATATAATTAAACAAACATATGTTTTCATTTTCTACAAATATTTTATTAAAAATTAATCTGATAAATTATCCAACAAATTGATTTTACAATATGCTTTGTACACTTTATTTAAATATTTAAAGTTAGTCTAATTCTTCGGTGGACTTTTTTTCTGTATTAACATCTACTAATGACTGACCATATTGTTCCAAATATCGAACCATTGTCAACTGTGTTTGTCCTATAGTCTGCAAACACCTATTGTTTACTTGACCTAGTACACCAATCAGTCTTGCTCTGGCGTTATCAATATTTACTAAGTTTCCATATTCTACAGTTTGGTTTTTGCTTAATAATTTCCCATCAACTATGGATGCTAATAAAATTAAGTGAGGCATCTTCTTTATAATTTTCAACAACTTTGGTACCTGTGATGTACTACTAAATACTATTGAGCTGTGTGATTGAAACAAATTCAACACTGCAGCATAATTTGTTTCTGCCAAGGCTAGTTTTAAAGTGCTTTTACCATACACAACATGATCCATATCAGCCATTTTAAAAGTTTTCCTTGTTTTGAAGTCAATTTCCCCTTTTACTGGATTTTTATGAAATATTGCAACCATTGCACTCTGCTCAAATAGTTCTTTAAGTTCTTTGGCCAAAATGTTTTCATATGGGTTATTTTCTATTTGTTTAAATGCTTTACTGAATGGTTTAGGGCATCTTTCACTCCATGTCATATTTGATGGATTTGGCCATGGATACTTAGGCTTTGTAATTGTTTCAATGACGGCTCTGTAATGATCTGGTTTTCTGGGTTTCTGAACGTTGACTCTTCTATATCGAACACTGATGACATTTGGTGTAAATCCACGGCTACAAATAGCTTTAGTTGAACAGTTTAACATGATCTAATTATTGTAAATTATATTGTTTGAATAAAAAAATTTAAAATACGTACAATTAGTTAACAAAAAAATAACCAATAAGTGTAGAAATACTAGAAATGTAGATCACTACTGATACTAAAAGGCAATATCTAATAAATAATAATATTTTAAAATATAAGGCCTAGAACGATAACCTCAATTCGTTCTCATTTTTTTACCAATTTCGAAATCAGTGTAGCCATATAGCCATATACTATTATATTATCATGCGTTCAAATATTGTATTGGGCGTGTCTTGGTTGAGTTAATACACATAATACATTTACACCAAATTTCAAATGCAAATAAAATCAGTTAATAAATAATTTTCAAAACCCTGCTCCAAGAATTTTTTGGTTTAACTTCGCATGTTAATTTTGATACCAAAACCATGTTTCTACGACCAACTAGATCTGAGTATTATTAGAAATACGAAAGTTCCTCCGGTCGATTTTTTCATGTGACGGCCCCACTAAAACAATTATTAAATATTTATTTAAAGAAAATGTTTGGTTAGATTATGTATTTATGGTATTTTCAATTATGTCAATGATCATTAATTCCTTTATTAAAATAGTACATCAGGAATTCGGGAATAATTAATAACGAGAGTTAAATGTTAATTACATTTTATTTAGTCGTATAGACTACAAGACGCGCAAGTATCTACATGTCGTTATGAATTATCATTTATATGAATTGCAATTAAGTATACTTTTTATTTGCCTCGGAAGGTCCGCCTTTAAGGTTTTTAAATTGTCCGTGCTAGTTTTAGCATATTTTAATTGTTATTGTAACCACTATTCTAAATAAAACAAGCATTATATTGGTAATTAACTTTTTAATATTGATAACGATATTTAACTCTTAGAATAAATACTTACCCAATTATTACATTTTGCATTTGTATACCATTCTTGTAGTTTGTACGAAGTAATAATAACAATCGTACATTTTTTATTATTTAGTATTTGAGGTAATTTTTTTCTCGCCGCTAAATGCTTAAAAATTAGGTAGATTTATTAGTTATAACTCACTGTCGATATTCAATATATTTTAATTTTAAAATTTAGGTTTATCTAATTGCCTATTCTGTTTAGGTATACCTATTTCCCGTAACGTCTTATATTCGTTAATTAATATAGTTACGTATTATTAAAATAAATCTATGACAAATATTACTTATTTTGACTTTCACTCGAGAAGTATTTTGTACTAATTACTGACTGATGTTCGTTCTTATTGACTTGTATCCAATGTGGCAAAATATATAAATTCATAAAACAAATATTAGTTTTAGTTTTGTGTATATTTTTTACACAATTTGTAGTACGACCTATTAATATAATTAAAAAATAATTGGCTAATGGGCTTATCAATAGTACCTAAATTCTTATTCTACTTTATAATAGTAAATATATATGTCTATTATAATTTATATGTAGACTAAATTTATGCACATCTGTTGGTTTTTCTGTTAATTTTAAAAATATTTTAATATGATTTGAGTAGTTATAAGATTTTATTTTTCCTTTAATTTACCACAACACTCATTGAAGCAAATAATTGGTTTCGTGAAAGTGCTTTAAAGCAAGTTAATTGCATTCATAACTTGCTAGGAAAATAGAAAATTATACTCAAAATTGTGAAAACTATATAAGTATTAAATACTCACTAGGTACTATACATATTTTTGTACTTGGATACTAATGCGTTCTATGATATTTTTCAACGCATTATTGATGGACAGTGGTAATAGCGATGTGAGTAATACATTCAGTCAAAATATGTTAAGTGTGTCTGAGCCGGTGCGTTTTTAGTTCAAAAAACTGCCTTACTACCTCTAGAAATACTATCACGTACTGCAAGAGCATTTTGCAGCCTAATTTTCAAAATTATAATTTTAATTTATGAAACCTGAAATATACGATATGCATTCCAATAATGCACAGTATTTTTATTTTTGAAATGTACTTTTCTAGCACTATTTAATGTAAAATGAAAATTCGGACTTTGATTCTACATGCTATAAGTTCTTAATTTTTCAGATAAAAACATTATAATAATAATCAAAATCTGGTTTATCAATGAGGCGTGAGAGTTTTTCCAGTAGTCATTTTTGTTGATATAATATCCCTGTCAACCCTCATAAATAGATATCAAGCAATAGATAAGTGGTAAAAGTATTATAATTAAGGTAGCAACTAAACATTTTTTAGAATTGTGGAAAATTTGAAAACCCTGCTCCAAACATCTAACGTACAATACTTAGTGGTGAGTGTTTAAACTTTTAATATATCATAAAATATGATGTACCCCATGCGCAATATGGTAATAAATGTATACGTATTAATATATTATATTTTATTATTGATTGAAACCAGAATATTTTGCTATCAAAAAACTCTTTTTACGAAATTATAATTTAGCCAAAGTTAACATTGTGATTAAGTCAACCAAACTGAAAATAGATGTTGCGGTGGCGGGACAGGTAGTAATATATAATATAACATATTATGTTCGTCGGTCGAGTGCCACGACCGGTGCGCGTAGCTGTGTAAAGGGGGAATCGAGGTGGCCGGTTGGTCTTTGTCACGCAATGGCTCGGTCGGAGGGGTTGAATGCGTGGGAGGGGAATCTGTGGACATTAGGTAGTAATAATTTATATATATGTGCACACGTATAATATTATATTATAAACATTTGTTATGAAAATATACATTTTCATCATAAAATTTAATCACACGCGTGATATTGGTTGGAAAAAAAATTAATATTTTATTTGGCCACCGTCTGCGCGTCCGTAGTCATAGGTGTAGTTGCACGGTTCGGTAAATATTTCATGGTATACAATTGTGTACGACTACTACAGTACTACATAATGCAGTTGTAGCACAGGCCACTTTGCGGCTTGACGATGTACACAATATGTCCTCTGCAGGCGACTGCGCGTTCTCTTAAAACATCAACGAATTGTCTCTCGCCTGTAGATTGCCATTGTTTCTTGCATACCTGATTGATTGTCTTACTTACGACAACAGGATAATAATAATTTTACAATATAATGTTGCAAAAACCGTTTTCATAATTTTTATCACAATACCGCATTTGTATATAAATTTGAAAAAAGTAAATATCTGTTGTCGGTTTCACGCGACTTTTCGAACCCGTGGAATTTATCCTGCTTATTTTTTTCCACTGTTCGTATCGAGCGAGAGGGAGACAACGCCGCCTCCGCCGCACCCCATTGACGAAAACCACCTGCCAACCCCAGAGCAACAGGTAGTTTTGTCAGTAAACCGTAAACGTTCGTCCGCCGGGACAATATTATTTGTTGTTATTTTATATTATTAATTATGATTATGAATGAGGCTATTTTATTTATAAATGTGTATCAGACTCCGACGCCTGTTTTTTTTTCTGTCCGAACGGACTTACAACGTTATAGTTTACGTTTTCTTTTTAAAATTTTTTTCTCTATAATATTAGAGGTAAATCATATTTTTACTAAAAAAATTTTAAATTTAGAGAAACACTCAACTTTAACTGGTTGGTAAACCTGATACAACTCGTACTCACGCACGCACACTATTATTCATCCAGGCGTGAAACCATTGTGACTTTCCATTACAATGAACCTCATAACATATAGGATCGTTTTTTTCTCGTTATTATTTTTCTCACAGTCTATTCACCATCAACAATAGAGGCTGTTGCTGGCGCGCTCTTCTCTCTCTGCAGGTACCTGTTTCATGGAATGTTTTTTAGGCCTTTTTTTTCGTATATAAGATCATCGTTTGTTTATGGTGTAGTGACTAGTGGAGTGTTTTAGTGTTAATAAAGTGGAGTAGGAGTGACTGAGGGAGTCCTTACTGTATCATTATTATTATTAATGATGAAATGCTTTTTACGTTGGATTCTTATTTTCTCTGCTTTATTATTTTCTAGTGTGTAAAGAATGGTTGGTCCACGAAGATGGCGCTTTGGCGTATCATTTACAAAAGTTGGAAGGTCAGTTATGTTTTTATTAATGTTGTCGAGTATTATTCCATTTTATTGTTTCAATTTAACATGTTTATTATTGTTTTACAGTCGACGAACATTACAGTGGCAATCGTTCTCGAAATGCTATTGTTCGACAAGACTTGCCTACTGCCAAGGAGGAACAGGAACGTGAAATCCGTGAAGCTGAAGAACGATATGGCGCTTTTATCAAAGAACAGTGAGTACAAATTTGGAGAGTAGATGATTAATTTTATATATTATTTCTAAAACTTAATATTTTGATTTTTAATGAAAAAAGTACATCTAAAGGTTATATACTTCAACATTTTTATAGTACAGTCAAACCTAATAACGAACCCCCTGTAAGACAGGCATTTTGCTTCAGTGGAAATAACAGTCCCAAAAATTTTAGTCTACCCACAACAGAAACTCCTTTATAATGGACAGATCAATTGATCCCGAGCAGATTAGATGAAGTGTTTTACTGTACCTAACAGCATTGTGGTCATCAAGTTGTAATGTTAGCATGATAACTTGTCTCTTAAATACTATAACTGTTTAACCTATTATCTTGTGACTTAAGTTTTCTACCCTTCCGCAACCATATTATTGTCTGTGATTCTCAAGTTGGTCTTTCAGCAATTGTCAACAACCTGTTCCCTTTTAAAAGAGTTTGCACATCTTCTACCCCTCTGAATAAGGTCTTACACCATTTCTTTGCTATGAGCTCCCTGGCATATATATAGATATAAATGGCAACGAGCACACTGACTCTTTGATTGGATGCACCGCCAACCATTCTCTCTCGGGTCTTCAGTTGTGCCCTTATACTAATTTGGTCCTTCTTTACTGTAAATTGTTATAGAAACTGGAATGGGACAACTTCCTAGAGTCATACACTACTAAATACAGAACAATAATTAAAAACACTCCTACTCAACCATAGTTTCAATCTCTTTAGATTAGCCGAAATGTCATAACCAAATAAACTAGATTACACATGAGTCACAACCATACCACTCATCCAATTTGGGACTCAATGACAGTTTGTATTGTACTCTATCCAACTATAATGGGACATTTTGCAATTTTCAACATTTACTTCTCCATATCTGCCAACATAGAATTCAATTAATGATCAATTACCCCCCC